ATGTATTTTTAAACAACAACAGAAATAAACATCAGTTTTTCTAATTTTTTCAGCACATAAAAGTGTTACATGTTTATTTTTAATTTAATTTTTTAAAATATATATGAAATTTATTGTCAAATTGGTTTCCATACAACACCCAGTGCTCATCCCAAAAGATGCCCTCTTCAATACATGTTTAAAGGAAAATAGTACCATTGAAAGATACATGAAGGCGACGCTCCCTTTGCAGTTTCATCCCATAGAAGGAATTCGTGTTAGCTTCTTTATATACTTCTACTTTCCTCCTTGCAAATATAAACATAAGTGGTTTATTTTTACTATAATAGAACACTATATACATTACTTTGAGTTTTTCCTTTTTCACTTACAGCAACTTAGTATTGTAGATCTAGCTATATTCTTTTCCCCTAATTTTTATGCAGATAAGACATAATTTCTGTTTTACATATGTATAAAACATATATAAGTGAAACATAACTTTTTAACTGCTCTTTTTTCTGAGTTTTGCTTGCCTCCCTCTTTTTTATTAAGACTCCTCCATCTGCATATCCCTTGTGCCAAGTAGCTTTTGTGGCTATCTTTCCATATTGTTCTTAAGGCTTGCATAGCTACAAAAACAGGTAGATGTAAATATATAGGAGAGTCTGGTGATTGGTTGCCTTAGGTACCCAAACCTCTATTAGTGATGACTGTTACCTCACTTGAATTTTTGGATGGTTAGTTGCAAAAATTAAATCTTGTTAGTTTAGTGTGCATTTCAGAACTAGTCGTGAGTTGAGTTTCTTTAAATCTTCTTGTTGGATAAAAGCATATTTATCAATGTTTGCTAAACACAGTATTTATGAGAAAGTTAAGTTGTTTTGATATTGAAAAAAAAATCCAATCACTCTGTTCTCTAATTTTCACTGTTAAAGAGCTTGAATCATAATAATAATAATGATAGTCTTCAATAATCATGGCATAAAAACGATGCTTTGATGATGCCAAAGATGACACTAAAGAATAGACTTTTTGTTTTAAAAGGTGTCTGCGGAAGGGTCTTATGAAATGAAAACAGAATGCAAAGCCAGTCAGATCAGATTACCTTAGTGCCTGTTGTAATGGTTACGAATTCTGAGTCTAATTTCTTCATGTAGCTAGCAGTTGGTGCTTATGTATGCATGTGATGTTCTAGAAAAGGCCATTATTTTGTTCATGTGAATTTATTATAGTTGTCTTATTTTTATTTTGTTTACTTATTTGAAGTTTATTTATTTTGAGAGAGAGACAGCATGAGTAGGGGATGGGCGGGGAGAGAGAGAGAGAGAGAGAGAGAGAGAGAGAGAAAATCCCAAACAGGCTTCATACAGTCAGCGCAGAGCCCCATGGGGGGCTCACACTCACAAACTGTGAGATCATGATCTGAGCTGAAATCAAGAGTCAGATGCTTAACCCACTGAGCCACCTTGGTGCCCTTTTATTTGCATTTTTAAAATGTGAGATTTTCAAGATGAATCTAAAGACAGTTTCTTGACCTAGATAATCCAAGTTCTTATAAGTTAGTAGGGGGGAATGACAGATTCTTAAGTGCGTTAAATTGGATGCTCTATATCTAGAATTTAAAACCTCAAACTATTTTCATTTTATCATTTTCTTTAGATAGGAAAAGACTGCATAAGTGTGATATAAGACAACTTTAGGTCAGTTATATTAGTTGTAAAACTCAACTTGAATTGATAGAATAGTTTTAAAATGTCCTGCTACTTTGTTTCATCAGGGTTCTTCTGGTGTAGCATATGTTTATAAACTATATGCCAAATACTGAGCTATCTTAATTTGAATACTTCTAAATGCACAATGTAAAGACTTATAAACTCAATCTCTCTTTACTTGACAGTTACAAGTCAAGTAATCCCTAGAAAGGGATTGAGAGTAAAATAATATGCCTGTTGCTTAGTTAGCAAACAGAAAAAAATATAATGGCTGAGATTGTTATTCTGAAGGCAGAAAATCTTGGGGTAGAACCTAGTAGCCATTTGCTTAAATATATCCATTCAAATTTTTTGGAGGGTTGTGATGATAAAAGTTTATAGACTCCTAGCAAGAGAGATTTGAGTTCAAGAGAATTTGATCATAAAAGAATTGGTTACAGGAGCTGAATAATGAGAAGTTGGTGGGATACTTCTTAATGATAATTACCTGTATCACCTCACTTAAGAACATATAGCCCTAATAAAGAAAGAATTTCATTTTAATATTATATTTTATGCCATTAAATGTGTAGTCTAAGTATAATTTAAATGACTGACTTATCTTATTGAAAATATTAATACATAAACTAAATTTTGCTTTCACTTAAATGTATCTGAACACAAATGTTGTACTATAAGTAGTGCTATAGAGTGGGGGTGGGGCAGTTTGGTGGTGGTTTATGTAAAAAGATAGTTTAACTTATTAACAGGCTTAATGTTTATGCTTTTATAAATACTGTGGTTTAATTAAAAGGTACATGGCTGGAGGGTTGGTAATTATAGTAGTCTTTTGAATTCACTCCCACTATAAGCTGTTGTCATTTCATAGTATTTTTTCCAAGTAATTGTTACTTAATCAACCTTATTGAATTTTTAGTTCTCTTCCTAAAGGATTGTTAAGTATAGATTGGATTCTTATATAGCAGTAGTATCTCTAATGATATTTTAAAGCACTAGTTAAAAATCAAACCATACCTGCTGGAGAGAATTATTTATGTTTCCAGCAGATGGAGCCTTCAGAATAAATAGCATTCATTTGAAGGATCCAAACATAATTCTTGAGGTATTTGAAATGTATCATCATTTGGTAACCACTACCTCTCTGCTTGTACCAGAAGGTGATTACAATTTAGTTAGGGAGACAAAGCATATATCTTAAAAATCACTTGGATCTTCATGACTACTTTGTGACTAGAATTGACCAGGAATAGCTTCTCCCAGAGCCATTGTTTTGCGGAAACTTGGGTCTAGACTAGGATAAGATGGTATTAATGCTTCCATTTTCTCTGGTTCATTCCCTGCTGGCCCAGGCCAGTATTGGAATTTCAAGGAAGTCAGATGGCCTACAACTAAAAGGTCATCAAGAATACCACCTACACACTCTGCCAGAGAAGTCTAGGTGGTGCTAGAAGGTTCATAGGCTTTCTTGATCTGGGGTTTGGCAAAGATTTTTCATGTACAGTGGCCTTTCCCCCACCCCTTATCAAGCACTTGTAGGACATTCACACCCCAGACATTTCATTTCACTAGATACTTCTGAAATCTTTCATTAATTTATTTTTTCTTACAAGTTTTTATTTAAATTCCCTTTAGTTAACATGCAGTGTAATATCAGCTTCAGGTGTAGAATTTAGTGATTCATCACTTACATACGACACCTGGTGCTCATCACAACAGGTGCCCTCCTTGATCCCCATCACTTATTTAAGCCATTGATACACTCTGGTCTTTAGCCATAAACTCATCCTTTCAACTTTCTTGCTTTATATATATACATATAAATATATATATATATTATTGTTTGTTTTGTTTTGTTTTTTGTTTTAAACTTCCCATACTCTCCAATTCTTTGATATACCTACTTTTTCCAGTTTTTCAGTCTTCCTCCTGGCTTTATTTCTTTTCCTGTCCATCTTAGTTTCCACAACCCATCTTTCCAATCCTTTTCTTGCTAGTACCCTTAAGTCATCACCTATCCCTCTTAGCCTGGTAAATTCCAACCAAGGATGAAACTGTTTTGTCTATGTGCAGGTAGCTGAGCACAGCGGGGAAAAAGTCATACAGTTTTGCAGACTGGTATGTCATAAATAATCAACCTCAGTTGGGCCCTCAGCACTACCTGACTTTCATGTTCTTAAAATATTTTACCAGGTCACTTCACTTTCCTGCTCTGCTCAGTAACAATTTTGGATTTCTTTCCATCTTGTCAAACCTTTGCCTTTCTCTCCTTTCAGTTGATGACTCAGATAGAAGCAATCACATAGTCCCTGCCTCATCGTTCTACCACCAACTCAGTAAAATTGCCAGAATCCACACTCACCCTCACCGCCTATTGCATTTGAAGAGTTCTCTCACTTAACAAAGACCTGAGCCCTTCCCTCTATAGGGAAGGGGATCTAAGCCCTCAGGGTTCCATTCCCTCCAGTCTTCTCAAGCATCTTCTCTCACTGTGTTCTAAACCCCTGCCTCTCCTGGACCTTTTCATCAGCGCTTAAACATGCTATATAGTCTCTCTCATCTTTAACACACATTGTTAGAGTCTACACTGTTCTGTAGCTATCACTCTGTCTCTACCCATTCATAGCCACATAGCATTAGTTTACTGTACTCACTGTTTTTACTTTTTCACTTCCCATTTATTCTTCAGCTGATTCTAATCTGTTTTCCATCCCTGACATTCCATGGAAACAGCTCTCAGACATTCATACTGCTAAACCCATTGGACATTTTTCTTTTCTGTCCTTATTTTACTTAACAGTGTTAACAATTGAGCCTGCTTTAAAACTTTCTCTGGTTTTGGGGATGCCACTTTCTACTAGTTTTCCTGCTACTTCTGACCATTTGTTCAATCTTCTTTTCCAAATTTTCTTCTTTTCCTGGACCTCTAACGTGTTGGAGTTTCTCAAGGCCAGTGTCTTTTCTCATTCTACCTGTCTTCCTAGATGATCTCACGCTCCAACTTCATTTACCATAGATATGTTGATAACTCCCAAATTTATATCTTGAATTAAGTCCTATGGTTTTCAGAGTTTTATACCCACCTGTATACCACCTGTATACTACTAGGATATGGACACCACAAAGTGAACATGTGCATGAATTCATTAACTTCTCTTGCCAAACGGACCTCTTCCCCCGGTGTTCTTGGTCTAATTAATGATACCCCTTCTCAGTTGGTTCTGCCATAAACCTGGGGGTCATCCTTAATCTCTTCCTTACCTCCCATGTATAGTTTTTAAACAAGTCGTGTCAAATCTCCGTATGTCCTGAGTCTGTCTACTTATTTCCATCTGCATTGCTGGCCTGTCTTACCCACATTAGTATCCTCTTTCTCTTAAACAACTATGGTAACTTTCTCACTGGTCTCCTTGCATTCGCTTTTGTTTCCACCTAATCGATTTTCCACATAACAGTCTACTTTAAAAAATTATAATTTTAAAAGATAGATCTCATCATATTATTCCTCTCCTTAAAAAAAACTTGAGTGACTTTCTTTTGGTCTAACGGCAATGTCTAAACACTTTAGTGTGATCTTCATGGTTCTCAATAATCTGACCTGTCCCTGTTAAGGATTAGCTTTCTATTGTTCCTGCTCTAACCTGTCCCTGTTAAGGTTTAGCTTTCTATTGTTCCTGCTCTAGCCACAGTGGCTGTCTTTTAGTTACTTGACTGCACTGAGCTCCTTCTTGCCTGGGGCTGTATATATAAGCTATCACATTTGCTTGAAATGCCCTTTATACTTCTCTTCACTCTGTCTACTTTTATTACTTTTTGGGTCCCAGCATAAATGTTACTTCCTCAAGTGCTATACTTCCAGACTACCTAAGTTACTTTCACAGCTTCCTGTATTCTTCTTTCTTAAGATTTGCCACAATAACGGGTTTTTTTTTGACACGGTTTCTCATCTGTCTCACCCACTAAACTGCAGACTCTGTGATAGCAATGATTGTCTCTCTTTGATTTACCTTAATATCCAGGGGTCTGGCTCCTAGGAAAAGCATGCAATGAATATGTTTTGAATGAACTAAATGGAACAGTGACAAATAGTAACACTAATTTGTTTTTTGTAGCATTTCATTTAGATAGAAGAAATTCACCACCAAATAGTTTGACACCATGTTTAAAGATTCGAAATATGTTTGACCCAGTTATGTAAGTATTATGATCAGAGGTATATGTAATTTTTATTTGGAATATCCTTACATTGTTATGTCTGTAATTGAACAGTCTCTTTTACTTTTGAATCTCTAACTACAGAAGTGTTATGTTTTTCTTTTCTCCTCTTTTGTTATATTTCAGGCCAAGGTCTGGCCAAAAGACACAGAAGTATAATAATTTGTTAAATTACAAATCTTTGTATGCACTACGAGTCCCCATGGCAGATAAATGTTTGAGTCAAATTAATGATACACGTGGTGATAAACAGTACTTTTTGTTAAGTATATAAATCTTGTCTGCCAATATTCTTTGCCTTATTAGGCAATATAGATAAATATCTACTATTTTTAAATTTCCAATCTCTGATTGTAAAAATTCTCTGCAAAGATGTACTTTTCCTTCTTAAGACCTGTCTACTTGTCCATGTAATATTCGAGAAACTTTTGTGTCCATTTAATATTTGAGAAACTTTTCTTTTGTATGTTATAGCAGCACATGCATCCAGAGATTAGCACAGTCAAAAGTTATTGCCTTAGAATCTGTACTATTTCATATATAAGCTGCAGTAATTTCTAGAATTTGCTTCCTAGATGTTACTTATTTGTCCAATGATACAACAGATCAGGTTCTGTTTTGTAAAAAGAATTCTAACAGTAGAAACCGTATTACTTAGAAAATACCCATACATCCCATTTAGTAACTTATTTATTTCAAGAAATGGTTGATATAACGAGATTCCAAATCAGTGGCAACAAAATTGGAACTGTGGAGAAAAGAAACTCTGTCAGTACACATAACACACCCCCTCCGTTTTGCAGAGATATAAGCACTTAGCAGTGCTCTGATCCCTCTTTTGAGAAGCTGACCTCATTTCTTAGGGATTAGGAAATCAGTGCCAGTCTAGTATTTTGTTACTAAGATGAAGATTTATGATTTAAAGTGTAGCCACTCTCCCTTCGGCTTGCCCTCTGTATCTCACAAGTAAGACAAATAGGCATCGGTGCAGCAGGAACTCTTAAAAGTTCATGTAACAGTAAGGTGATGCTTTATGCAAAATGTTTGTCTTGTATCATTCCTCCATTATTTCGAAAAAGAGAACACCAGAACACATTATTTACTAGGAATTGCCCTTAAGTTTAGGAATTTGAAAATATCACTAAAAAAAATAGTACTCAAGTTTTTTAAGTTCACTACAGACTCATTAAAGTGTTAACGCTTGCTAGGGAGAAAAAAAGAAATGACTACAGGTACATAAGATTTCAGACGTAAAAATGACAGCACATTTGTTCTGCTGTGCTCATTGCCTCAGCTCTGTGCCTTCTTCCACTGGAAATGAGAGAAGGTCTGGGACTGTGAATGCCAGTATTTTTTAATTCTGTGTAGTACTTGTAACAAGTATTTACCTAACTACTAGTTTTAACAGTATGTAGTTTTGAAATTATTCCCATTCTGCTAGGGTTTATGTGTTATAAGAGACAATAAAGACTTTTAACAGAATAGGAATATGGCTATTGATTTTTTTTTTCCATCAATTTTTAGGGAAATAGGGGATCAGTGGCATTTGGCAATTCAAGAAGCAATTTTAGAAAAATGCAGTGATAATGATGGCATTGTTCATATTGCAGTAGACAAAAATTCACGTGAGGTAAAGTAACTTTTACTATCGAATTCTACATTTAGGATTTGTTGCTATTAAACTAAGACTGTTTCTTTTTTTTCTCTTTCTTTCTTTGTTTCTTTTTTTTTTTTTTTAAATATCACAGGGCTGTGTATATGTTAAATGTCTGTCTCCAGAATATGCTGGAAAAGCTTTTAAGGCATTGCATGGCTCTTGGTTTGATGGTAAGAAGTTTGAGTATTACAAACATTTTAAAAACATAAATTATGGCTTACTGTTAAATTATACCAGATTTTAAATTAAAGAATATTAGGTCAGCATTTTTAGAGTAATAATTTAAGATTCCTTTATTTGCATATTATGTTCATATGTCTTTTACCACAGTTTGTTTTTTGTAAATATTAAGCACATTTTTACAGATCTAAAATATTATTTTTATCTTACAACAGGGAAATTGGTTACAGTAAAATATTTACGACTAGATAGATATCACCACCGCTTTCCCCAAGCTCTTACTTGCAATACTCCCTTGAAGCCATCAAATAAACATATGAACTCTATGTCTCATCTTCGTCTTCGGACTGGCCTAGCCAATTCTCAAGGAGGTTCCTGAAAAGACTTTCTTCCACTCCTAGGATTGGTATTTACAATAGGAAAATTCCTGTTTGGCTTCTTGTCTTCCTTTTAAATGCTTTTTGTATGTAATATTTTTATTGAATACAGCTCTGTTTGAATGTTCCAGAAATCTTAAGGTTCCAAAGGGACTTAACAGTGAGGCAGCAATGCCGAGTAGACAGAACAATTGTTTCATTTAGTTTTTGGAGCTCAGTTAAGCCAATGCATTTAAAGTTTTGCATGAGGAACATTGACGTTATTAAGCATTTTCAGATGTGGTGGTTGTGTTTTTGCACCACAAAGTGTTCGGATAACCACACAAAAGCATGGTGAAGAGGCCTCTTGTATTTCCATAATTTCCTGTGAACTAATGTTGTGCATTTTTGTATACAGTCACCTGCATAGTTCCTTACCAGGCCAGTGTGGTAAAACTGTTAATTTCCCAATTTAACCTTAGGTTTCTATTGCTTGTAAGAGATTCATTTGTTACAGCTGGAATACAGGAAAATTAATTTGGGTTTAGTGGTTACATATACGTGTAGGTGGATGTACATGTACTTAAACTGGCTTTTGTATATATGTATAAATGCTGGGGGTTGGCGAAAGTAGTCTTGTTTTGTGAGGATGTCTGCATTAAAGCAGTAAAATAAGCTTCCTATTTTATTCATAATCTAATGTGTACATATGTATGTGTATATATGTGTGTATGTGTATATATATGTATGTGTATATGTGTATATATATACACACATATATACATATGGCTGTACTATCACATAGATCAAACAGCCAAACACCTGGAAGTATTAGATACAAGTTTAAAATATCTTTTATAAGTTTTATATAAAAATGTCTGAGTATGATTTTGTGTGAAAGTTACGATATCGGTTGTAATGGATTCAAATTTATGTGAGCAATAAAGATGCAATTGGCAGATATTGGAAAAGTATTTTGTGAAAAGCTGTATTTATTATAAATACTAGGACTATGTCATAGTACTATTGGGAGTAAGTCATTTTCCCAATTTATTTATAATTTAATGAAATGTCAGCTCCCCTGTTCTATGTCAAGTTTAAAGCAGGGCACATTGTTGCAGCAAAATGTGTCTTTGAAAATTTATATTTGAAATTTTGGGTCATGAAAGCTTGCAATATAGTAAATGCACGAGTGACTGTTGCTTTGTGCCTCGGTATTTACTTTGTTTCAGTAAAGTTGCTTTATTACTGTTTATGATTTCAGATTAAAATCGTTGCTGAGCAGAGTTTACTTGTAACGTAACAATTGGCTTTTTAAAAAACAACCTGTTGATATATTGTTGTCAGTCCAGAATATGTGAAACAGCTGGAATTGTACCAATTTTGATTTTGTTTAAAGCTCAGTTTCCTTTTTGTTTTTTATTGTATATGTGTTGGGTTTGCAGCATGAACTTGCACAGATAATGCACGTTTTCTGGTTAAGTAAACATGATGCACACTGTTCTGTAACAGAAAACCCTATTGTGCCTTACCTATGTGCTTTTGTGGGCACCATGTTTATGAAAAATAAAAAATGATTTGTTATCTGAAGAGAATAAATTTTAAATTCTCAGTTTATGTCTCAGATGCTAAAGTGTGAGAATATAAATATATATATATAATATATATAAAATAACCAATCTTTCTGTATTTTATGTGCATCATAGTGATTTATCTGAGCTTAGTGACCCCATCTTGTGACCTGTTGCAAGAGTGAATGTAAAAAATAGTTGTGGCATTTTAAAAGGTCGCCTTTTGATGCAGATGCATCTTTTTTTTTTTTTTTGCTTCTAAGACATATTTCATGTAAACATTGTACATTTATTATTGTAATATATACTATTATGCAGCTTATTTTACCTGAAACTGTTAAGCCGACCAAGATCCCTCCCTGCAAGACAGATGGGAATGTGTATAATAACTAGATATTTGAGAAGTTCTGAAGTTTGATGTAATCTGTTACTTGTCCTGTTAAAAAAAAAGAAAAAATTCTAATTAAAAATTTATTAGGTTTTTTTTTTTTAATGCGTCTGGCTTTTAAAAAACTTTTTAATGCCCTGTGTCTTTATTTTTTTTTTTAACCAGTTAAAATAGGTGCCTTTATTTTAAGTCATTTTGAGGATCTGTAAATATATGTATGTATGGTCATAAAGATGGATGAAGACCCTAAAGTTAACTTTAACCATCCATTCCTCAGCATCTTCCTTTTCTTTATGAAAATGTCTTTTTCTGACTCTCAGGTGTTTGGATCAAAGAGGGAGGGGCAAGACTATATAACATCAGCTGTGTCACTAAAGCAGCAGTTTTTTCATAGCAAGACTTTCTCAAAAAAGGAAGCTATTCTTTTACACATTCTGCTCAAACTCCGTATCCCATTATAAACCAACAGTTGAAGGGCTAGCTACTTTGAATAGCATTGGTTTAGATTTTTTAATGGTTTAATCAAGTAAAAAAAAAAGACTTGGTTAATCAGTCAGTTGGTAGACTTTTATTGATTGCTAACAAAGGTCAACTATTGTTACTTGTTAGGGATGCAAAGATGAAAAAGACATGGCCCAGTCCTCAGGGTGGTCGCATTCTAGAGGAAGAACATAGAACAGGTAAGTTCAAAGATAGTGTGGAGAATATAGTGAGAGAAAAAAGCAGAAGAAATCCTGGGAGTACAGAGAGGCACCTTTTACATCTTAATAGATGGGAAAGACATAAGGCAGATGAGATCACAGCTGAGCCATATTTTAATTTAAACGTTTATTAAACACTTCTTAATTAGTATAGCTACAATGATAAGTCTCCTTTCCCTTGAGCTCCTAGGGGAACTTTTATTCTTGTGATGAGCTCATAAAAATTGGTGCATGGAACTGAAGCTATGACAAAATCCATTTTCAGACTCATTTGTCTGTAGACTCCTCAATATCCTGTGAATATTGAAGCCTGATACTAGACTTCCTTATATTTTCCTTGTATGGTATTCACTGTTTGGATGACAAGTTGTCTAAGTGAACAATGTTTTTTAATATCACATGCCCAGAATAATTCCTTTAATACGATTGACATTACGGTTCTCACTGCTCCTAGTAACGTCACATTATTATAGGTCATGTACATGGCTTCTTCGCCCTTTTTCCCTAGACTTATCTCGGCAAGTCACTTCTTCCAGATGACTCAACAGAGGATGCTAAATCAAGCAGAATTTGGGCAGCCACTCTTTTGGAAAGGATGCTGAGGAACAGGTACTTAACTGAAAATAATTAGAAACCAAAAGTTGTGGTTTAAAGAATCTGAATATCCAGGATGCTCATCCTCTTGGTCCAGTAAGCAGGACTAGCTTCTACTGCCTCTAAGCCTCCTTGGAGAAACTTTATAAACAGAAATACATCCTGATTACACCCGAGAACCTCTACTAGGGGCAGCAGGATAGATTCATTTTGTTGATTCTTAGATTTTAAAACCAATAGAACCCATGTACTTAGACTCACCTTTTTTCCTATGAGTGGGTGGACATTGGAAGCCTGCACATGCTCCTTAAATTGAAAAGGTTATCTAGGCATAGAAAGCACATGAAAAAAGATTGATAAGATAAACCTACTGCATGTATAAACTGAATATAAAAGTAGACCGTGATAAGACCATGGAAGACCTTGTAGGTCACATTATGAAGTTTGGATGTTGGTTAAAGGGAATTCAGGTAAGGATTTGTTATGATGAAAAATGGAGAAAGGATTTAATGAGTAAGAAATGGGAAGGACTTGATTCGATATTGGGAGAGAAACTGATGTTCAGTTTTCTAGTGTGGGAATTCTAACAATCACAACATTTAGAGAACCGATGATAAGTAACAAATTGGATGGAAAAGATGGTAATTGAATTTTTGGACATTTTGAGATTGGGATGCCTATGGAATATTCAGGTGGATATTCCTAGCAGGTGACTGGATTTCTAATTCCGTTGTATTTTGAGAAAGATCTGAGCTAGAGATACAATTTGGGAATTAAAACCATGAAAGTAAATTAGATGACCCAGAGAATGAGAGAGAGAATCCATAGAAATTTAGTTCAATGCCAATTCTGCCATATTTAATGATGTGGTTGGGAGGGGGTGAAGTATTAAGGAAGATTTGAAACAAACTAAGAAGGTGGAATGTAACAAGGTCTTTGGGGTGAAGTTAAAGTGGAAATTTAGTGTGACTATCACATATCTGACTTGGGCAACTGGTTAGATGGTGGTGACATTCCCTAAATTATGGGTTACCAGAGTGGGGAACAAGAGGCCAATCAAGGGTGCTAGATAAGATGTCTCAGAACTGTAGCAGCTAATCAAAATAATCCTCTTCTCAAATGTAGGACATTGTTAGAGGAAGGGCAAGAGGGGATTGTCTGAGAATCTTACCTTTCTAAAATACATAATTGTTACTTGACATAACGTTCTGGCATTCTCTATGATTCTCTGATAACTGATTAGAAGTTTTCCTGGATCATAGAAAAATGAGATGTTGAGTAGATCTAGAAACCTATGATTGTCAAAAGAAAGAACAATTACAAAAGTTGGCTTTTAAATAGAACTGTTCGTAAGTGAGTGGTTTGCCAACCCAAGGCTAGAAATTTACTTGAAGCTATGTATTAACCAGTCAGGTCTTACAGGTCTGGAACCATGTTTTTTGCAACTTCATTTCTGCCTTGATCTGTTGAATTAATTTAAAATTTTAACTTAAAAAATTTTTATGTACGTATGTATTTTTTTGAGAGAGAGAATGAGAATGTGAGTGGGATTGGGGCAAAGGGAGAGGGAGAGAGAGTCTTAAGCAGGCTCCATGCCAAGAGTGGAGCCTGATAGTAGGACTCATTCTCACGACTGTGAGATGACCTGAGTCAAAATCAAGAGTCGTTAACACTTAATAGACTGAGCCACCCAGGTGCCCCCAAAATTTTAACTTCTTTAAAAAAAAATTTTTTTTTTTTTACCGTTTATTTTTGAGAGAGACAGAGACAGAGTGTGAGCTGGGCAGGGGCAGAGAAAGAGGGAGACACAGAATCCGAAGGGGGCTCCAGGTTCTGAGCTGTCAGCACAGAGCCCGACGCGGGGCTCGAACTCACCAACCGTGAGATCATGACCGGAGTCGAAGTCGACGCTCAACTGACTGAGCTGCCCAGGCACCCCTTAACTTCTTTTTAAAGTTATTTATTTTGAGGGAGTGGGAAAAGGGGCAGAGAGACAGAGACTCCCACACGGATTCCATACTGTCAGCACAAGGCTTGAACTGAAAAACTGTGAGATGACCTGAGCCAAAACCAATAGTCAAATGTTCAACTAACTGAGCTCCCCTAAAATTTTTAACTTTTTTTTTTTAATGTTTATTTATTTTTGAGAGAGAGAGAAAATGAGTGGGCAAGGAGCAGAGAGAGAAGGATACACAGAATCTGAAGCAGGCTCCAGGCTCTGAGCTGTTAGCACAGACCCCGACGCACGAACTCTGAGATCATGACCCGACCGAAGTCGGACACTCAACCGACTGAGCCACCCAGGTGCCCCTAAAATTTTAACTTTTAAGAGGCAGTCTTATTTTTGTATTTCTGAGTGCTGCAATACTTCCTTTTACCACTCCCCACACAAAGGCTACTAATGTGGACATTTTGAGATCTTAGTAGCTTTTTATTTTGTACTGAATAATAGCCAAGTTCAAGTTGGTATTCAAGACCTGCCTTTATCTAGACCAGTGCTTGTCCAATAGAGATATAATGTTAGCCATGTGTAATTTAAAATTTTCTAATGGCCAAGTTAAAAAAAGGAAAAAATAGGTAAAGGCAGGTAAAGTTAACTTTAATAGATTTTTATTTAACCTTATATTACTCAGGGTATTATCATCTCAACATGTAATCAAAAATTTTATTGAGCTATTTTATATGCTTTAAAATCTAGAATACAGTAAAACCTTAGTTTGTGAGCATAATTCGTTCTGAAAATATGCTTGTAAGCCAAAGCACTTGTATATCAAAGCAAATTTCCCCTTAAGAAAAAATGGAGGGGCACCTGGGTAGTTCAGTTGGTAGGTTAAGCATCCGACTTCAGCTCAGGTCATGATCTCACAGTTCATGGGTTTGAGCCCCTCATCGGGCTCTGTGCTGACAGCTCGGAGCCTGGAGCCTGCTTCAGATTCTGTGCCTCCCTCTCTCTCTACCCCTTCCCTGCTCGTACTCTATCTCTCTCTGCCTTAAAAAAATAAATAAACATTAAAAAAAAAGGAAACTCAGATGATTCGTTCCACAACCTAAAAATATTCACATAAAAATGATTACAATACTGTAATATAATACAAAATAATAAAATACAAAATAAAAAAATAACCTGCACTTACCTTTGAAAACCTTCATGGCTGGTGTGAGGGAGACAAGAGAGGGGAGTTATTGTGTAGGACGACTTTCACTATCACTAACGGAATCACTGCTGTCTTTTGGCTCAATGGAATCTTTTTCTTTTGGTGCAGCTTTAACAAGGAACCTATTCAGTGACACTTGCTTTTGCCTCCTTTTGAGGATTTCGTGGAAATGTGATACTACATTGTCGTTAAACGTTCATTGCTCTCATTGCTACAGCCTTATTCAGGTGGTGCTTTTCTACAGAATTGCACTGTTTCCCACATTTTACACATCTCCCTGATCTCATTTGAGGTGAGAGTTTCCTCCGCCTTTTTCTCCTCTGCAGACAAGACCTCCTCCTCCATAATATCTTGCTGTTGCTCAAGATGCAGATCCATCAGTTCATTGGTGGTCACCGTGGCCTGAGACTGAGCATCTGAGCATCGGAGACTATCACCCACAATCCTGCAGTGAGAGAGACAGAGAGAAAGAAGAACCACTGGCTCAGTAGTGATCATGTGATGTTCGGAGTAATGGACTACTCGTATTGCAAGACCTTGCTCCCTTATCAAGTTAAAATTTATTAGAAACGTTTGCTCGTCTTGCAGAACACTCGCAGAACAAGTTAGTCACAATCCGAGGTTTTACTATATATATTACACTTACAGCTAGCATGACCCTGTGTTGTAGGACTTACAGTGCTAAAACTTACACAGTTGGTCACCTTATTAACAGCCCATCTCAATTCAGATACTACATTTTCACTGAAAACACTTGATCTATATTTAGATTTTGTAACCTTTACAGTTGGAAAAAGTAGATTCACATACGCAGGTTCTTCCAAACTTCCGTAAGACGTTTTCCTATAACTGAATCAGGTATCCCTTTTTAAGTTTACATTAATTCAGATGAAAACTTCAGTTCTTCAGCTCTAGTAGCCGTATTTTAAATCCTCAGTAGCCATGTGTAGCCAGTGTCGGCCATGGTTACAGTGCAGGTCTAGACCGGCCTGTTCCTTTCTAGCTAAATCCCGCTTCGACTACCAGTAGACTCCAGCTAAATTGCGCTGCTGTCTTTCCTGGGCACAGTCACTGTCGCTTGATTCCACTTCTACTGGCACCGTTGTATCGTTTGTTTTGCTCGAGACATCCTCATTTCCGGTTTCCATAGACCCAAACCTTGCCCATCCTGTAAAATGTGATACAAATGTCTCCTCCAGGAAGCGTTTCTGATTATTTCTAGCTAGAAGTTATTCCTTCTAGGTGCATTTCTGAAATACTTGATTTGCACTCCTCTTACTGTTTTCGGCAGTTGCTTGTGGTGTAGTTTCTTGTAGTCTGCTCTATTTTGGCTTCTTCAGTTCCTCTGAAACTGCTCCTCCAGAGCACCAAAAACTTCCTTTTGCCAAATTCAAGAGTTGTTTCTATAGCTTCATCTTTCTTGAACTCTTAGCATCGTGGGACGTTGCTGGTCATTGCCTCCTTTTTTACTTATTATGAAATAATTTACACCTGTAAGAATCTATTGAAAGTTTATATTTTATTTATATTTTGAAGCATAGCATCATTTTAAGATTTAGAATATTAACTTGGAAGCACATCTCTGCCTTTGCCTGATGCTTCTCTCTCCTTTCCGACTCCCAGATAACCATTATTCTGAATTGTGTGTTAATAATTCTTTATTTTTCATTATAATTTTGCCACATATGTATGAATCTCTAAATACTATATTGTTTGTTACTGCTTTTGACCTCTCTATGAATAGAATCAAATGCATACTTACTTCACTGACTTTTTGTTCAACATCGTCATTGAGATTCATCTGTACAGATGCACGTAGCTCTCATTAATTGTTGTGGCTGTGTAGTATTCTATTGTGAAATATGCCACAATTTATTCAAGTAGCTCTGAGATTGTTTTCAGTTTTTTACTATTATAATTAAGGTAGCTGTGAACATTCATGCTTGAACATATTTCCTGCTGCACACATTCAAGTTTCTCTAGGTCAGTAATGCTCAAAAGGTGTAGTTCTCAAGTTAGCAGCATTGAATGGGAACTTGTTATTCCAAGCAAATTATTGGGCCCCACCTAGACTTGTTGAATCAGAAACTTTGGAGTTGGGGCCTAGTAATCTGTGTTTTCACAAATCCTTCAGGTGATCCTGATGGCACATCCAAGGTTGACAATCCTGGGTATAAAGGAGCCCTTTGTGAGGTTAATTTGCATTTCCTGATTAAGATTTTTCGCTTACATATTCTTGAAATAACTTTCTTTCTTTTTTACTGTGACATTTGAGAAATTCTGATGAGGAAATGGTTTATGCCTGGTCCTCTGGCCCCCCCCCGCCCTTTGCTCATTTGTTTTGTTTCTTAAGTTCCGCATATGAATGAAATCATATGGGATTTGTCTTTCTCTAACTTATTTCACTTAGCATTATGCTTAGACTAATACTCTCTAGCTCCATCCATGTTATGGCAAGTGGAAAGATTTCATATTTTAAATGTTTGGTAGAATTCACCATTGATGTCATTAGGCCTGGCCCTCATAGGTAGTTTTTTGATTACTAAGTCAATGTTTTCACTTAATATAGGTCTATTAAAATTTTCTCTTTCTTCTTAGGTTAGTTTTAGTGGCTTCTGTCCTAGGAATTTTTACATTTAATCTATTCAATTTCTTGGTGTATATAGAGTTGTTCATAGCATTCCCTTATAATCTTTATTTCTGTAATGTTAGTAGTAATGCCCCCTCTTTACTGATTTTAATCATTTGAGTCTTTTCTCCTTTTTTCTTGGTCAGTCTAGCTACAAGTTTGACGTGTTGATATTTTCAAAGAATCAACTTTTGGTTTTGTTGATGTTGTCTATTATTTTTCTATTCTCCGTGTCTTTCCACCCTAGTCTTTTATTTCTTTCCTTCTGCTTGCTTTGGGTTTATTTTGCTCTTTTTTTTCCAGTGTAGTTTTGGTTATTGATTTGAAATCTTTTCTTTCTTTTCTATCTTTTTTTTAGCATGGGCATTTACAGCTGCCAATTTTCTTTTAAGTACTGTGTTAGCTGCATCTCATAAGTTTTGGTATATTGGGTGTTCATTTTGATTCATCTCAAAGTATTCTAATTTCCTTTTGGTTTCTTTTCGGGCCCATTGGTTATTTAGAAGCTTATTTCACTTACACATATTTGTGAATTCCTCATATTTCTTTCGGTTACTGATTCTAATTTCATTCCATGTGATTGGATAACATATTTTGTTTGATTTCAGTCCCTTTAAACTTTTTAAAGCTTATTTTATGGCCTAGCATTTGGTCTATCCTGAGGAATGTTCTGTGTGAACTTGCGAAGAATGTATATCCTGCTGTTAAAAACTAGGTGACCAGACATCAACGGATACTCTTTGGGCCATAACTGCCTCCCATACTTGATCAAATCTTTGATCTTCTGCTTTTGTTTTGTTATGGGCCTCGAAGAATTTCCCTTACATTATTGCCAGATCAGTAATTGACTTAAAGGGATGTTTTTCATGTTTAATCCAGTATAAAAGATGTTTTATTCATTTATCTAAAAAAATTTTTTTTAATGTTTATTTATTTTTGAGAGAGGCAGAGTGCGAGCAGGGGAGGGGCAGAGAGAGAGAGGGAGACACAGAATCCAAGCCAGGCTCCAGGCTCCGAGCAGTCAGCATAGAGCCCATCATGGGGTTGGAACTCAAGAACTGCAAGATCATGACCTAGCCGAAGTTAGACGCTTAACCAACTGAGCCACCCAGGTGCCTCTGAAAGATATTTTATGATGAGAGGTTTATTCAGTCTGTCGTTCCATTCTATTGCTGGAAATAAGTTCTTACCTTATCCCTTCCTTATTGCCCCTGTCCTTGAAAATCACTTGTGTTCTTTAAAGAAAAGTAATCTCACTCTTGTGATTGGTGCCTTGGTTCAATGGAGATATTCTTTTTTCGATGGTGATTTAATAGATAGGTAAACTGATATCACCTGTGAATAAATTCAACAAGAAATATATAAGACCTATGTGAGGAAAACTTTCCTAAAAGAGATCAAGGAAAACAAATAAATGGAGATATGTATCATTCTTCCTTGATAGAAATGCTGAAAATTGCAAATACACTATCTAATTCTAACTAAATTAGTAAAGAGGTTTAATGAATTCCAATAAAGATTCCAATAGATTTAAATTAATTTCTAGGGCTTTTAAATGAATTTCTATGATATCAGCTAAAAGGATAAACAAAAAAGAGTAAGTTTTTAAAGTTAAAATATGATTGAAAAGCAGAGACTGGCCCTATCAGTATGAAAGCAAATTAAATCTGTGTTAATACTGTAACACAAATATAGGAGTAGACAATTAATACCTTGAAACAGATAATTACCGAGTATAACTGGTACCAGAAGGTCACTTACATTAAATCCACTTAAATCAAGGATCAAATTTTTTAATAATTAGTTTTACTAAAATTAACTTGAAATATTTTGCTAAAAATATAAAAATAAACTTATTTTCTATATAATGAAGTTAACTTCTAAATATTTTAACTTTTATTTATTTTTATTTTATTTTTATTTTTTTTTTAACGTTTATTTATTTTTGAGACAGAGAGAGACAGAGCATGAACGGGGGAGGGGCAGAGAGAGAGGGAGACACAGAATCGGAAGCAGACTCCAGGCTCTGAGCCAACAGCCCAGAGCCCGACGCGGGGCTCGAACTCACAGACCGCGAGATCGTGACCTGAGCTGAAGTTGGACGCTTAACCGACTGAGCCACCCAGGCGCCCCATATTTTAACTTTTAGAAATAACTTTTGGCATTTTTCTTGACAAAATTACTTGAAACATGAAATTCTAATTTTCATTTCATGTTTGATTTCTCCTCCTTAATTGAATCATTTTTCAAAAATATCCTAGACTTCATTTTTGTAAGGGTTTCTTTCTAATCAGACCATACCTTTATACACTTCTTGTGTCGTTGCCCTTTTGGCCTTGGCTTCTGCCCTTTGATTGCAAGCTGCACTGACACATTCTTAGCTCTGCTCATGATTTGAACAGTTCTCCATCATCTTTATCAACTTCATGAAATCTGACATATTTTGTGAGATTTGCTAGCTCACTTTGTAATGAATTTTCATTGCACTTGCATTGTATTTTTGAATGACAGTCTGGAAGACACTGGCAAACACAGGCATTAACATAGATGATACTGTAAAGCAGAGAAATATATGAAAAGAGGCCCTTTTAAGAAAGAGTATTTTATGTTATGACTCAACATCAATAACAGATTGCATGGTCAATGAATACTTGAGTTATGAGGACACTTTGGTATATATGAATTCAGTGTATGATAATGTTTTCACTCATATGTGGAACTTGAGAAACTTAACAGAAGACCATGGGGGGAAGGGAAGGGGAAAAAAAATAGTTACAAACGGAGAGGGAAGGGGGCAAACCATAAGAGACTCCTAAATACAGAGAACAAACTGAGGGTTGATGGAGGAGTGAGAGAGGGGGAATGGGTGATGGGCACTGAGGGGGGCACTTGTTGGGACGAGCACTGGGTGTTGTATGTAAGTGATGAACCATGGGAATTCCAAAAACCAAGAGCACACTTTACACACTGTTAGTCAATTTGACAATAAATTATATATTTTTTTAAAAAGCATTGTATGATAAAGGTGACTTTTTTTTTCATTAAAAAGTTTTTTTAAGGTGACTTTAAAAATCAGGAAAAGTAGATCATTCAATAAAATTAAGAGACTAAGAACCTTAATGTAACTAATGCCAGGGCCTTTGAGTCCTGCAAGTTTCATATGCCCCAATAACACAAAAAGTATTGTGTTGTCTTCTTCACATATAGTATCCTCTCCTTGCCATGGCAAGGTCCAGAACAAAAGGGCAGGAGGATAGTTTCCTGATGCTTATTTTGTTCAGGGCTTTCTTTTTTACTTATTTTTATTTTTTTAACGTTTATTTATTTTTGAGACAGAGACAGAGCATGAACGGGGGAGGGGCAGAGAGAGAGGGAGACACAGAATCGGAAACAGACTCCAGGCTCTGAGCCATCAGCCCAGAGCCCGACGCGGGGCTCGAACTCACGGACCGCGAGATCGTGACTTGAGTTGAAGTCGGACGCTCAACCGACTGCGCCACCCAGGCGCCCCAGGGCTTTCTTTTTTACAGAAGCCTAGCAACATATCAGCAGAGAAGGAAATCTTATCAGAGGAACCTGATAAGTAGCCGAGCCCTTCCGTAACAAACCTTCTCAAGTGTTATGCCACAGGTTACGGATGTGCTAACGTGCCCTTCGAGTGGTGGAGCTCAAGGCCTCCTTAACTCTGGCAGCTGTTATGTAGCCTCTCCCATTTAACTGTGCAGTGTACAATGCTTTTCCTTTTCTTTCTATGCCATGAAGTAAAAAAAAAAAAAAAAAAAAAATTCTGGGGAGCACTGTTATAAGCAATTAGCTGTAAACAACGGGAACATGAATAGTATCATTATGCAAACAGAGTCATCTGGTTTAGGGAAGAAAATAGATTGTAGCAGAAAATGGATTGAGGGGGCAGATTAGACTTTTTCCTGAATCTGAATTCACCCTCGTTCTATTTTCACATTAGATCATATCATCAATTTACATTAGTAAGAGCCTTGTGCAGTTTTTACTTGTTTCTGGTCCTTTACACATACCTAGATAATTTCCAGGAGGAAGGAAGAGTTGAGCAATAGTCATAAAAGAAAAGTTAGAGGAAAACATTTGATGTAGGGTTTAGCACAGAAACAAAGAAAGAAATCGGAAAGAAAAATGCTACATATGGTTATATTGAAACAAAAATGATCAGCACATCTAAAAATTCTAAGAAATTTAAAAACAAGCAAATGGGAAGACACAGCAGCATATATGATTTGCAGTAACAATTCTTTTTTTTTATGTTTTTTTAAAATATGAAATGTATTGTCAAATTGGTTTCCATACCACACCCAGTGCTCATCCCAACAGGTGCCCTCCTCAATACCCATCACCCACCCTCCCCTCCCTCCCACCCCCCATCAGCCCTCAGTTTATTCTCAGTTTTTAAGAGTCTCTTATACTTTGGCTCTCTCCCTCTCTAACCTCTTTTTTTTTTTCTTCCCCTCCCCCATAGACTTCTGTTAAGTTTCTCAGGATCCACATGAGAGTGAAAACATGGTATCTGTCTTTCTCTATATGGCTTATTTCACTTAGCATCACACTCTCCAGTTCCATCCACGTTGCTACAAAGGGCCATATTTCATTCTTTCTCATTGCCACGTAGTACTCCATTGTGTCTATAAACCACAATTTCTTTATCCATTCATCAGTTGATGGACATTTAGGCTCTTTCCATAATTTGGCTATTGTTGAAAGTGCTGCTATAAACATTGGGGTACAAGTGCCCCTGTGCATCAGTACTCCTGTATCCCTTGGGTAAATTCCTAGCAGTGCTATTGCTGGGTCATAGGGTAGGTCTATTTTTAATTTTCTGAGGAACCTCCACACTGTTTTCCAGAGTGGCTGCACCAGTTTGCATTCCCACCAACAGTGCAATAGCATTCTACAAATAAAAATCATTCTAACATAAAAGACTAACATCCTGATAGAAAAATAGCCAAATGACATTTGGAGATGATCCACAAATGAGGAGCTGTAAATGAGCAACTAATGTGAAACATCCAGCCACAGAAATAAATACGAATTAATGAACAATTGAGAAAGTTTTTTATTACATAAGAAATTTGACAGATATTATTTAAGTTTAGGGGAAATAGGCCCCTTATATAAATGCTGGTAGTTATGTAAAGTGATGAGCATTTTTATAGGTCAATTTGGCAATACATTAAAAAATGTCTTAATCTTCATACCTTAGGCCTTATGCTTTAATTTAGGAGTTTGGTCTGAAGAAATGATCAGAAATGGCATGAAGATACATGAAATGACATTCATCACAGCCTTATACTGTGAAAAATGAGAAGCAATTGAATTCTACAAAAATGAGAATAATGGATTATGGATTATAATATGGAATCCTGGGTAATCACTAAAATAATGTCTTTGGAGAATACATACGGTATGGAAAATGTTGTCTGTAGGCTGCTTAAATTGATGTACGTTATTTCAAATATACTATATTTCATCTAAGATGCTATTATTTGGAAGAGGCATCATTTTCTCTGGCACTAAGAAAGAAAACAATAAAAATAACACCCAAGATACGAAATCTTAGAAGACCCTGGCATAAAGGTAGGCCGAGTCAGAATAAATGAGAAGTAGACTTGTCTCTGGAAAGGGACAGCAAAGAAACGAGTTGGTCCCCATTCAGAGCGTGGTTCTAATTCCTACCACCACCATGATCCAAAAAACTTCAAGCAGAGAGAAAATGTCATGCTCACAATTGGTAAGTTCCCCCAAGTAAGCAAACATCGGTCCTCTGGCCGAAACTGGACTTCATGCAGATAGCAATCTTTTCTTTTGTAACTTTGTCAGTGATTTTTTTTTTTTAGACACCTTTGCTTCTAAAATCAGTTTCTATATCAGAATTGTTAGAAATGAAAAACTGTGTCTAGCGTGAAAGGCATATACTAAATATATGCAATTGGAGGGAGATACTCCAAAATTTAGCAGTGAAGCCCAATGTGTTGGATTACATACGTATTTTACAAAACTTCTCCATGAACATTTATTACATATATTTAAAATGTTTACCTTAATTAGGATTTGCATAATTGTTTATAGTCTATTTTCTTAATTTGATCTCCCCTATTAGTATATTTTGAATCGTTACCAACCTTTGGCAACAAAGCTCAGGCATTTTAGACTTTCTGTAATTTCAGCACTTTGGAAAAGAGCTGTGTTTATTTTGGCTGCAGACCTGTGGGTTATTACTGTCAGCAGGTGTGTGAAAAGTCTTCCAAAACCCTGGATCCCTGCATTGAGGGATCAAAAAGAAAAGAAAAAAGGAGGGGTGCTCAAGAGCACAGGCTCTGGAGTGAGACCCATGCTCCAATTTCAGCTTTGACCCTTCAGTTGTATGACCCTAAGCAAGTTATTTAAGTGGTCGTAAGACTCAGTTTCCTCATTGTTACAACAATGATAATTGTGTAATGGAGAGAATGAAACGAAACAATGTCAAAGGCCCATCATGTAATATCCCTGTTGGGATTCTAAATCAAGGTCTATGAGAGCAACTACTTGAAAATGTGATTTATTTCTAATGTCCCTTTGCTCTTCTTCAACGTAGTCACTCAAACAGTGATCATGCGTAAGAGAGACCTTTCAAAATTTATCATCTCTTCAGTGCTTCCCTTTTTAAATTACATATTCTCTATTCCAGCAAATAGAAAAAGGTCGGGGGTGGGGGAGGGAGATACTCATGATGAGCACAGCCTTGATGCAGAAAACAGAAAGGGAAAATTTCTAGGCCGATTTCACTGAACAAAGATGCAAAAATCCCCAAACCAAAATGGCCAGCAAACCAAATTCTGCAATACACAAGTAAGTATACACCATGACCAAGTTGGATCTATCCAGGAGGAATGCGGGGCTGGTCTGACATTAGAAAAATCCATATAATTTGTCACATTAACAGAATACATGAAATAAATATGATCGTCTCATATAGATGCAGTAAACCATCTAATAAAATTCTACATCCATATATCTTTTTGTAAAAAAGTAACTTTTAACAAACCAGAAGGGAACTTCCTAAATCTGATAAAAATTATGTACCAAAACCCTAAAATAAACATTAATTGTAAGTTCTCTAGTGTGTCCCTATTGGGTGCAGTTTGGAAACCTGTTTTGACTTCTTCCTTCATTTTTTTTTTAATGTTTATTTATTTTTGAGAGACAGAGACAGAGTGCAGGTGGAGGAGGGGCAGAGAGAGAGAGGGAGACAGAATCCGAAGCAGGCTCCAGGCTCCGAGCTGTCATCACAGAGCCCGACGCGGGGCTCGAACTCACAAGCTGTGAGATCATGACCTGAGCTGAAGTTGGACGCTTAACCGACTGAGCCACCCAGGTACCCCTCTTCCTTCATTTCTAAATGACTCTTTTTTTTTTAAATTTCTTAAAAATATATATGTTTTAAAATGCTTATTTTTGCGTGAGGGAGAGAGCAGGAAAGGGACAGGGAGAGGGAGACAGAGGATCCAAAGCAGGTTCCATGCTGACAGCAGAGAGACCAATGTGGGGCTGAAACTCACGAACCTTGAGACCATGACCCGAGCCAAAGTCGGTCACTTAACTGAACCACCCAGTGGTTCCTTCCATTTCTGAAACAAGCTTTTGTTGTTCTTCACTATTAACTGTCTTTGTTCTTTTGAAACTAATGTATTCTCCCATTTTATTTTACTTGAAATGGTATACCTTTTTAGTCTTCTCATCTCTCTGAAATGCATTTTATTGTTATTTTTTTCTAACTATTTTGTCCCCAAATTCTTCCTTTTTATACTCAAGTGTTTCTGCTTCAAAAAGGTAGAAAGTCTAAGTGTGAATTTATTTTTCTCAATATGAATAACATTGAGGTTCAGATCTCAGCTATGATAGTGTTCAAGAATTATCACTGGAACTAGGGTAGTAGTGTAGGTCATTAGAGTGGTGTCAGCGCCTGACTGGGATGTTGTGTTTCACCAATGGAAGCCAGTAAATCTTGAAAATGATTGTCCACAATCAGTCCTGTGTTATTAGAATGTTCCTTACTGTGACTCCAGACATAAAGGCTGGTATAATCTTTTAACTATAGAAGTCTTAGAAATTAATTTTATGCAATACACGTCCGGTAATAATGAGGCTCAGTTGTATGGTGTACCTCCCTGGAAGGTACCAGGAGCAACAGAGAAGAGTGAAAAGCAGACAGTGAGCAGGAGACATTGTTTCTGTGGCCAGTATTGTGGGCTGAATCGTCTTCTCACATTGGAAGAGCTAGCCACGAGTGTTGTGTGTCCACCCCTTCTGTTATTCGTCATTGTAAATTTTACATGGTTTCACATTTAAATAAAACCTCAGTTTCAGAAAGTATTGTATGTCATATCTCAATAAAACTCAGTCTAGGGGCGTCTGGGTGGCTCAGTAGGTTAAGCCTCTGACTTCAGCCTCTGACTTCAGGCCATGATCTCACGGTCCGTGGGTTCGAACCCTGCGTCGGGCCCTGTGATGACAGCTCAGAGCCTGGAGCCTGCTTGGGATTCTGTGTCTCCCTCTCTCTCTGCCCCTCCCCCACTCATGCTCTGTCTCTCTCACTCTCAAAAATGAACACATGTTAAAAAAATTTTTTTTATTTTTTATTTTTATTATTATTATTTTTTTAACATGTATTTACTTTTGAGACAGAGAGAGAGCATGAACAGGGGAGGGTCAGAGAAAGAGGGAGACACAGAATCTGAAACAGGCTCCAGGCTCTGAGCTGTCAGCACAGAGCCAGATGCGGGGCTCGAACTCACGGACTGCGAGATCATGACCTGAGCCCAAGTCGGCCGCTTAACTGACTGAGCCACCCAGGCGCCCCCCCCCCAAAAAATTTATTTTTTTTTTTTAATTTTTTTTTTTTTAATTTTTATTCTTTAATGTTTATTTATTTTTGACAGAGAGAGAGAGCATGAGCAGGGGAAGGGCAGAGAGAGAGAAAGGTAGACACGGAATCCAAAGCAGGCTCCAAGCTCTGAGCTGTCAGCACAGAGCCCGACACGAGGCTTGAACTCCCAGACCGCAAGATCATGACCTGAGCCGAAGTCGGACGCTTAACCGACTGAGCCACCCAGGTGCCCCCCAAAATTTTTTTTTAAATAAAAAGTAAAAGTAATAAAACTGAGTCTAATTATATACAAAATTACCATTTTCATTTTCCACTATGCTTTAATAACATGGAAAAATCAAAATTGCTTTTCCTGGTTTTCCTCAAGGGCAGCTGAATGTACTTCAAATACTATTTAGTTATAAGACAACCTTATCATATTTGGAGATCGGTAGAATAAATGTTGCCTCACGTAGCTGAAATGTTTAGAGAGGTATGCTATTTTCATTATGTTCAGAAAAAATATGTACTTATAATTTGGTATATCATATTCTAGTAATAGAGAGATGGGTACAGAAAATTCCTACTTACCTGGAGTAATTTTTAAAGATATGTCTTGATGAATTTAGTTATTTTAGTTACCTAAGAGTTATATTCTGATTTAAAAATAACCACTTTTCAAAGAATACAATAAAATATTCACAGCACTACAACTCTGGGGAGCTTAATTTAATCATTGATGGCTCAGGAAGCAGCTCGGAATCTTTCAGTGCCTCCTTTTTTTTTTCTTAATACAAGGGTCTCAGATTTTATTTTTTTTAGCATTTATTTTTGAGAAACAGAGACAGAGCACGAGCAGGGGAGGGGCAGAGAGAGAGGGAGACACAGAATCTGAAGCAGGCTCCAGTCTCTGGGCTGTCAGCACAGAGCCCGACGTGGGGCTCGAACTCACAAACCATGAGATTGTGCCGTGAGCTGACGTCAGACGCTTAACCGACTGAGCCACCCAGGCGCCCCACAGTGTCTCATTTCATAATGAACCTCAGTACAGGGTAAAATGAAAATTCTTTGAATTTCCTGATTATTTGGATTATGAATGAGCATATATGTTTTGTAAAGGTCATGAAAGCTGTGTTGTATGTGCCCTTATGTATTTTCCCATAATCCTGTCTACCTCTGTTATGGGCATTATAGAAAGGAGAGGTTGAAACTTACCCTCCTCGGTTGGAAGGTAGAAATGAAAATTACTCCGGTTAAACCAGAATTTCTCAAACATGTGGACCACCTGTCTTAGAATCATCTAGGGTACTATTAGAAATGCAGATTCCTGTATCCTTCACCAAACCTGCTGAATCACTGTATCTGGGAAAGATCCCAGGATAGTGACAGGCTCTCCAGGTAATTCTCACAAAAGTTTGTGAATCATTGCCAGATGGCTTCTGGACCTGAGTGAGCAACCTAGGGTAGGCAGCACCAAAACAATTCTTCCCATGAATGCTGATACAGGAAACAAATGACGAAGATTGAAGTGGGTGTGCCACTTCCCACGGAGTATGGGAACAGGAAATAATATGTTCTACCATCAGACCGAAGGAATTTGAGAGGCAAAGTTGGAAATAGTTCAGAGCTATTTCATTCATATTTATAACATAGGCTTACTGAAGGTGTAGATTTCTTGTTGTATTTTTCTTTATTGATGTGAAGTAACATGAAATTAGCTGAGCATCATTTGATTCATTTGGAACATGTTTTTATTGTTTTAATGCTTTGCTTTTACTTCGAACACTATAGTAAATGTCTTTTGGGGTTTCTTTTCACTAAGTATCTTGAGTTTTCAGAGCTTTAGATGCCGAAGAATTACTTATTTTTGTTAATCAAGCCAATTTTACTTGTAGTTCTAGTTATAATTATCTGTTACCACTGGGACCAGAATATAATGGTATTTAGAAAGAACTTCTTTTTCCCTTTTTTTTTCCTTTTATGCCACTGTGGAAAGCTAAGTTGATGATAGTTCTGTTTGATAGTTTCCATTGGTTTTTCCCATGAGAGTTAGACATGCATAAACCTCCCTTAACCACCTCTCTCCTTCCCCCTTCAACAATCCCCTATCCACCTAACCCCATCTGAAGGGTCAGTCAACAGTATTTATTTATGAAGCACTTATTACACTATGGGAAGTCGCAAAAGAAGACTTTCCTTTTCAATATTCTATTACTGTTGAGAATTCAGTAGTAGAATTCAAATCTCGCTCCACAGCTCTATTATCCCAAAGTTCGCAATAGTCACTTCTGCTCCGAGGCAGCCTTCGCTAAGCCACGGGTCGATCATCAAGGCTGACCTTAGTATTTCCTCCACCTGTCTTCTCCAGAATGCTCCCCAGCCGTATGCACTGTGGGCCTTCTGGTTTTACCATGGGCTGTTCTTGGGTACGCGTGATCATCAGTTCCGAATCCTAGTCTGCCCCTCTGTTTACAAAAGGAGTGGGTTGAAACCAGGCTGCTTTCTCCTTGTCATTTTGACCTTTCAGCCTCCATGGGTGAGACACTAGCACCTGGTGAAGGAGATTTCAGGCAGCATCATTAAGTAGGAGAGATACAGGTTAAAGCTCTGCAGCACTATTTTGGGTTTTCACTTGCATCTCCCAGGGGATAAGATCTCAAGGGTTGGGACCTTTTAGACAGAGAAAGTCACCCTCCCGAATGCTCCTGTCTGCCTTGCTTTCAGTTCTGTATTACCACCTCAAAAAGCCTTCCTTCTCTGAATCTTTCAACTCCCCCTATTCCTCCACTGAAAGGGACGTCCTTGTCTGAGCATATGTGTGTACATGTGTATGCATACATGTAGGTGGAGGATGATAGACAAACTGACTGTGGGTCCTCCAATTCATGTTTCTTATTCAGTAATTCTCTCCAGGCAGCTGTGAGCTGGTGGTTTCTTTGCTGATTAACCCACACATTAAGCAGGCGTGCACACACACGTTCATATAGATTGTACTGGATGGTATAAAACCCAAATATCGAGAATAGAATAAAGCCACAATATTAGTAAAGTTCATGCCCTGGCTGGTAAATAAATAGGTCTGTAAAGAACTATTTGACATCTTTATGGATCTCTTCAGGAGCCACAAAAGAGCTGGACTAGCTCTTGATGACTTTCTCTCCCTTTCACAGTGGTCACATTGCACACATTTTATTTCAGAATCTGCCTCGGAAAAATATGAGGATGAAAAATATAGGCTTCCCAATTAAACTGAGTTTCAGATAAACTATAAATAATGCTCCATGAAATACTTAGGATATACTAAAAATTATCTGGTGTTCATTTAGAATTCAGATTTATCTGGGTATCCTGCATTTTTTTCTGGCAACTCTTTTCCTACCATGACACCTTGTTTATCTCTAGTCTTACTGCTAATATCTTAGACTAGGGACTCTACCTCCAATCTGGGTATCTGCACCTGCCTGGGTGGCCTTCCCAGCTCTACTCTTCTGATTTCCCCTCATAGCCTGCTACACACTAAATTTTTAAAAACTGCTGTTTTCATTATGTTTCTCTTCCACACAAGAAAGTATGATGCTTCCGTTGCTTTCCAAAGCGATTTTCACTGTGCAATTTTATACTAGATTTTGTGTGTGTGTGTGTTATGCATTTCCTTGGTGAACCTTTCTCTTTTAACAGAATCTCAAAGAGGCATCTTTGAGCTATGTGAAGAACTGTGGCTTATACAAAGAAACAAAAGTGGGTGAGTTTAGAAACATGCACCTTGCCTCAATGATGACTTTTCCTTTAGACATCAGTAGGTTGAAAGCCCCCTCATATCATTCAACTCCTGCCAACATCTTGCAGGATAGGCAGCAGGTCAGGCATTATTACTTTCATTTCAAAGACAAGGTCACTAAATCCCAGAGATGTGAATTGTAAAACAATTACATGGCATAGCCAGAGTTTGAATAGCCATCTGCCAACTGAAGTTGATTTCTCTGTCTACTTTTATGGACCACCAGTATTGAAAAATATAAAATCAACTTTGATACAATATATTAAACAATATTTAAAAAAATTTTTTTAATGTTTATTTTTGAGAGAGGGAAAGACAGAGCACAAGTGGGGGAGGAGCAGATAGAGAGGGAGACACAGAATGCAAAGCAGGCTCCAGGCTCTGAGCTGTCAGCAGCACACACAGAGCCCAACGTGGGGCTCGAACCCAGGAACCGAGAGATCATGACCTGAAATTGGATGCTTAACCGACTGAGCCACCCAGGTGCCCCATAAGCTTTGTATATATTTAAGCCTCAAAAAGGTTTCTCTCCCAACCCTGAAGAGATGTTCTCATTCCCTTCTGTCTGGTGGACCTTGTCATTTAGCTGTCAGTTACATATCACAACGATTGGATGTTTGGCCATTTGACCTATAGGGATGGCTTTTTAATGTGGTCACAATGGTGGAATATACCTGTGTTCCATTGCTACTATTCCTCAAATATTTAGAGATTGTCAGGGTGTTTCAGAGCTCATTTATAAGTCACAAAATCATTAATATTTTATGTTTACTCACTTAAAAGCATAAAAAGGGAATAACTTAATTTGGTTATTCATCGATTCTGCTTGGTTCTAAATTTTGTCTTTTTCCACAAATGTGTTCTCAAAAAAATAAAAATAAAACTTCATTTGCCTCCCAGTCCTCCATACTTTTCCTATCTCTTTAGCCTCCCTTTAAAAAAAAAATAATTATTTTTTTCATCATTATAAGTGCACTCTTTATCTCCAGCCCCTTCTTCCCCCATCCCACTCCCACCCCCCCCACTCTGATAACCATCTGTAGTTAAGAGTCTATGATTTGTCTCCCCCCCTTGCTCATTTGTTTCTTAAATTCCAGTGAAATCATATGGTATTTGTCTTTCTCTGACTTATTTTACTCAGCATTATACTCTCTAGCTCTATCTGTGTTGTTGCAAATGGCAAGAATTTATTCTTTTTTTTTTTTTTTTTATGGCTGAAATATGCCACTTCTTCTTTTCCTGTTTATCAATCAATGGACATTTGGGCTGCTTTTATAGCTTGCCTATTGTATAATGTATAATGTATATTATTGTATAATAAACGTAAGAGTGCAAGTAACCCTTTGAATTAATGTTTCTGTGTTTTTTGAGTAAATACCCAGTAGAGCAATTCCTGGGTTGTAGGGTAGTTCTATTTTTAATTTTTTGAGGAATCTCCATACTGTTTTCTACAAATGGCCGCACCAATTTACATAGTCACCAACAGTTTAAAAAGAAAATCTATGGACTTCTCATGGCTTGAATATCATTTCTATATCTGCAGCCCAGCCACCCTCTATACATATAACTTTCATATTTAGTCACCCAGATGAACATTATCTTGTGTGTCTAAAAGCCATTTCACACTTAATATGTATCTTATGAAATGTCAATTCTGTAATGCTCAGGGGGGAAAAAAAGAAAAAAAAGTTTAGAGACATTCTTTTCTTTCTTTCAAACCTTACATTTGGTATATTAGCAAATCTTGTGGGCCCCACATTTCAAATATATCTTCAGTTTGATACCTTTTTGCTACGTCCACTGCTTCCCTACCCAAATCACCATTCTCTCTCACCTGGTCTACCCTTTTGTCTCTGCACGCCTTGACAGAGGAGCCAAAGTTCTCTGTTAAAGTGTAAATAAGACTATGTCACTCTGGTGTGTAAAGCCCATCAGAGCTTCCCATCTCACTACGAAGAAGCCAAAGTCCTTATAAATGGTCCATAAGACCTTACCTGATTGCCTCTGGGGCCACAACCTTTGATGCTCTCACCACAGTCCCCTTTCACCCTCTTCTCCCCATGCCAGCCTCCTGGATGGTCCTCCTACAGGGCAGGGTGCGTTGGGTGTGGACTTTTTGCTTGCTGTTCCTCCTCTCTCACACACCAGCAAGACTTACTTCTGTCTGGTACGTCTTTAATGTTATTTCCCCAAGACTTTTAGCAACCTTTCCTGCCTTATTTCTCTTATTTGCAGTTACCACCTTAACATACTAAATATCTTAGGGGTGCCTGGGTGGTTCAGTCGATTGAGCGTCTGTCTGACTTCGGCTCAGGTCATGATCTCTTGGTCCATGAGTTCAAGCCCTGAGTCAGGCTCTGTGCTGACAGCTCAGAGCCTGGAGCCTGCTTCGGATTCTCTATGTGTCTCTCTCTCTGCCCTTCCCCCACTCATTCTCTCTCTTCCTCTGTCTCTCAAAACTAAGCCAAAAAAACAATTTTTTTTGAACATTAAAAAAACATACTAAATACTTTGCCAGCTTATCTTATTTTCTACCCAGCTCACAGTAAGCATAAGTAAATATTTGAATAAATGAATGTGAAGATGATTTTCCTGTGTCGGAGATATTTTAAAAATTTCATCATGTATTTTGATGCAAATCTAAAAGTGGTTTTCACAAAACAGTTTGAATAATCATTCATCAGTGTGTGCAGCCTTCTAATATGATTACTTTGAGGAAGTAAAGACTGAAAAACATATTTGATAACATATTTACTATTAGCAAACGTGGATGTAAATATAAAAAGTATTGGAAGAAAACACACATTGAATGTATTATTAAATCTGAACTGACTTCCTTAAGAGGTGATTATGAATACAAAATGTAGGACTCTAAGCTGTGCAGAGAAACTATGAGTCATTTCAGACACAGGAAATCATGTCAGATAAAGCTTAAAGGCAAAGAGTGACTCTGGTGATTGAAAGTTGGTAAGTGATGATAAAAGTTAATAATATTAATATTATATTGATATTTATTAAGGACATAGGTACATAGGTAGCATGGGATTGTGCTAAGTGTCATGCATGGTGGTATCTTTATTTTTTCATTCTACAGAAAGAAAAAAGAATGTCAAAGCTTAGGCAAAGTTAAGTAGCTTGCCTATTGTCCCATGGGCTTTAATGGTGGAGGCCATGCATGAATTTAGATCTATCTGATCCCGAAGCTCAAGTCCCTGACTACTGAGTGGAGCTGTATCTGATTATGAGATTAAGTTCTAATGGCAGCTCGCAGAGTGAAATTTAGGCAGAGGTTAAACTACTGCAGAAAATCCTGTAAGGAGACCATTTTGGAGAGCAACATGCCATTTCCCAGAAAGCCCAGCACAGCCGGGATTTCCTCTACTACTGGATCAGATTGCAACTGCTTTGGCTGAACATATGAAGGAGGTAGTTTGCAGTTAGGGGCAAGTTGTGCGTGGTTCGAAAAATACCTGTAAACACTGGATGCGCACACTGTGGGGTTAGATGCTCTCGACAGAAGAAGCACTAAGAGACTGAATGAAAGTAGAATCAAGTCTCCCATTAGAATTTTCCTGTGCAGTTTCAACTGTTCATTCTCGCTCCTTCCCCTTCGCTCTCTTTTCTTCTGTATGTGTATATGGTTGATGTAGCATATATCACTTTATGTGATACGATCTTGCTAACAGTCAAGCAGCTTTGCTGGTCTAGAGAGGATTATTTAATGGTCTACAATATTGAAAATCTTGTCAAAATAGTTATTGTTTGTTGTAGCGCAGCCACCTATCCAAAGCTGGGAGAATCAGGTAGCGCATCCATCATGGGAATACATCAACTATCTCCAGAATTAACAAAAGGGATGGCTTCCACTGTGTAAAAGAAGATTTCAAGTGTCTCCGTGAGCCAGTCAGCATTGACTCTGTGTCCCTCACGTTGTTGAGAATAGTTCTCCTCGACCCCACTCCCACCCCAGCACATTGAGGCAAGGGGCACGCTTCTACCAGTATAGAAGTGTTCTCGGCAGAGCTGAGTCACGCCGTTCTACTTCTCAGATTAGGAAAGCAGAATCTGTGGAGTTTGGATTGAGTGTAGTCTGGAAACCCTTCTCCTGGATCGTCTATGACATCCTCCTATGAGATGATTTCCTTACTCTCCAATCATCACTATTGGTTTGAAACAACGGCACTTGATAAATGTTCACTGAACTTAATAGGGTTTCTCCCCCTAAATGAGGGGCTTTTGAATCCTATCCAGTCCTAACCTGTCCATTCTCCTGTTTGCAGTTGTTGGCACCTACCCAAGATATTCCTTGGGGTATGTGGCGGAGAAGCTGTCCCAAAGCTCTGTGTAGTGGCCGAGAGGATCTCACTGAAGAGCTGAGAACAGTACGTCAGAGAGACCACCGCTTGAAAACCTGTCGTGCTTACAGCCTCCTTTCGAAAGAGGCCGCCCCGACCACAACCCCCTAAGCAGGTAGCAACGCAGTCTGTTTCTTCAGCATGGGTGACCATGTTGTCTAGCATGTGAGCCGTCCATCCTAGCCACAGATGGAGTAGGAGAGGACACCTGGCTCAGAGGTAGCCAGCCTATGGGCTGCTCAGTGGCTTCGAGATAGCCTCCAAGGAGAGCTTTCCCCTAAAAGGACAATGGTGACAGATTCTCTCCTCGGGGTCATTTGATAATAGACAGACAACTGGCAGCAAGTGGGAACAGGATGGAAAGAGCTGCGGTTGTTTGTGCACCTTGAATTATGGCCGCATTCTGAAGGCATCTGACAAAGAGCTGATGCAGAGGTGTGCCAGGGCTGGCCCTTACAGGCCCGAGAGCTGGTGCGCGCATCTCTTCCCAGCTCTGCCGTGGGTCGGTGGGAACACTGGCACCACATAAACTGGGTTTTGTCACAGCTGAGATCTCCCGCCTCCAGATCTGGTTGTTCAACATTTATTTACCAGCACATTGCTGGGCAGGGGGAGGGATGGGAGCAGGGGAAGCAGTCACCTCTTCTTGTGGGTCCTTTGTCTGAAAAGCAAACAATGCTTAAGGTAGTATGTTGCCGCGGTTGGTATTAAGATCATAATAAAAAAGACATTAGAGAAAACGTGGTGAAATACGTGATTTAAGTCTCAGTCGTCCAGGTACAAAGCTCATAGGAATGTGGTCAGAATGTGGTAATACTTTTCTGGTTCCTGATGCCTATCAAAGGCACAGGCCCCCACCTCCCAGGCCCACAAAGGACGACCTGACAAGCCGGTTAAGCCTCAGGTCTTATTTCCATATGTATCCTTTACCCCTGTGACTTGAGGCAACTTGAGGGCACACGTTACTTCAAACCGCAAGAGCCCGATGAATATAGTTTTTGAGTACCTTTTTTTTTTCCTTTTAAATGTAGGGAGAATAGGCCAGATCAGTACAGTCAAAAGACTAGATATGACTTTGGAATGAGGCTTGATCCCCCCATACTACTTCACCCCTTCCTAGTAGCGGAATTTATCATCTATGCCTCAGTCTCCTTAGCTGTAAAATAGGGATGAAAAACAATAAGCTCAGAGATGTTTGTAGGGATTACATAAAGTACCATGTGTAAAACACCAGCAGAGCTCCCCGCACTTGTCATGCATTCAAGTAACCTTAGCTCTTTCTCCTCTCTTCAACAGACTTCTCGAAGCCTTTACAACAGCTGCTGCTTTTCTGTCAAGTTGGCAGAATCAACACAATTACTTCACTCTCCACTCACACTAATATGAACTAGGTTGTATGACAATGCATTCTTTATGAGTTTACGTGTTTGTATATAAGGCCAACTAAACTATTTTACATATGGCTTAATTATTACAGTCCTTTTAAACAACTTTTTCCTTACACTCAGCTCAGCGCTCCTGTAAGTCAGTCCACAAATTACTGTGCTCATTTCCTTTTCTTTTTATTTTTTTATTTTTTTATTTTATTTTATTTTATTTTTAATTTTTTTTTTCAACGTTTATTTATTTTTGGGACAGAGAGAGACAGAGCATGAACGGGGGAGGAGCAGAGAGAGAGGGAGACACAGAATCGGAAACAGGCTCCAGGCTCTGAGCCATCAGCCCAGAGCCTGATGCGGGGCTCGAACTCACGGAGCGCGAGATCGTGACCTGGCTGAAGTCGGACGCTCAACCGACTGCGCCACCCAGGCGCCCCCTTTTCTTTTTAAACAACTCCTTAGACTCTGGGCAAAGAACTATGTTAGGTGTTGTAAGGGAATTAAGAAAAACAGATGCTTATGTAATACACAGTTAAAGACACAAAGAAGAGGAAAGGGAGGGAATACTCGACAGTCTTCCTGAATATCCTCTTCCCACTGCCCAGCTTCTGGGGAGCTAAACTGAATGATAATACCATGTGTCTTTTAAATCCCTCATTTACTGTCTTGCTGTTTATTTGCCCCTAGCTTACTTAGGTCATCTGCCCTTAGTCCCATTATCACCCCTAGTACATGAAGGCTGAAATCCGCCCATTTGCCAGGAGTAATTCATGGGAGGTTGTGCTTGTCAGTATCAGATGATTTAAGGGGAGCCCCTTGCAAATGGACTGGCTTTTGACATGTGGGCCTTAATTCTTTGCCGGAATTAAATTTGTTTCGAAGTTTCTGATTTTCAAACAAAGCATTTTAAAACAAGCAGTGTGATGTACAAATTACCATCCTTCAGTTCATATTAGAATAATCCACTCTAAATCTGTTTGACATTTACCCCGTAAGAATTTTGCATCAATAAATAATTTCTGTAGCATCTTAAAATGCGCATAAGTAATCATATAACATCCTGCATCTCCAGGGCCTGTCCCGTTAGTGTGAATAAAAAAAAAAATAATAAATTATAGTAATCAAGACATAATTATGCTGTCTTAAAAAGCTAAGGGTCATTTGGACTTGATTACTGAAGGAGTTATCAGTGCCAAAGAAAAGTCAGGGAACTACTTACTGGCTTGGGCCTGTAATTAAACATCTGGGACTGACATTTCGGTCATCAGAAGTAGCACCTTTGGAATAAATTTCAACACTGCCTTTTAGAGGAGCTACAGCAAATACAGAACCAGTGTAAGGGCTGGTGAGAGGTTGGTGGAGGAAAGGCCGACTGGTCTCAACATCAGCATTTAGCTATTAGGAAAACTGATGTCACAGTAGCTTGCCTAAAGTCCATATATAGTATTCAAATACTAGTTTGGGAAGAGTCGCTTTGTAATTTTGTCTAAGAACCTCCACCCCCCCCTCCCACCCCCACCCCGCGGAACACACACACCTGGTGTCCAGGGACCGCTCACCTGGAATGCGGGTGGGTGGTTTTAAGAATTACAACGCCTGTTTGTTGCGTGCTGGATGGCTCACCTGAATGCACAGTGCCGCTCCAGCCTCACCCTCCCACACTTAGAGAAGTATTTGCCAGATCTTTTCATCCCCTCGTTACCCAAAGCTCTCAACTGATTAGGGGCAACGCAACAGTCTCCTCAAACCCCTTAAACGTCCTCCGGCGGGTCCCTGGTTCGCTGTCCGGTCTCCTCGTGGTGGTTTCTCTCTTTTCTGCCCCTTCAGGGGTCTCAGGTGGGACCTGGGTGGGGTGCTCGGCTCCGCTCTTGGGCCTCAACCCTGGAGAGGGATGCGCCCTGGCAGTCAGATTCCACCTCCCGCTCGCGCTCGGCGGCCGGCGGCCTCGCGGCGGCGGTGAAGGAGGAGGATTCGGAGGAGGAGGGAGTTGGCGGCCGCCGAGGCCGGGCAGCGGGCCCCGTCCGCGGCGGGCGCGCTCCGCGGTCCTCCCTCGCTCGTCTCCCATGCTCATATTTGGACTCGGCTGCCCGTGCCCAGGAATTTCCCGTCATGCCTCCCGCCGCCCCGTCCGTCGCCCGGAGCCTGGGAGGGAGGGAGGGAGGGAGCGAGGCTCGGACGGCGGCGGCGGCGGCGGCGGCGGCTCCCCGGCCCTTCCATGCGCCCACGGCGGACCCTCCCGCGCCCCCTCTCGCTCTGCCTCTGCCTCTGGCTGGCCGCGACTGCGGCGCGGGGAGCCGCGCAGTCAGGTAAGTTCGGGCTCCTTCGCCGCCTCACCTCCCCCTTCCCACCCCAGCCCTGCCGAGTTGAGGTGTGACCCCGACTCCTGATCCCCTCCGAGCGCCGGGCTGCGCCCCCTTCAGACTCCTGCGGGGACGCCCCCTTTCCTGAGCTCAGGAGGGGCGCGGAAGAGGAGCGCCCCTCGCGGGCGGTGTGTGTGGGGGGGGTGGGGGGGGGGGGTGGATGGAAGGAGGTCAAACTGGCTTCGCCCCCGCCTACGGGAGGCGTCTGGCCGCCTCGCTGACACCTTATCTCGTCCCCGGCGCGAACCTGAGCCCGAGGGAAGCGCTCGCCCGGCGCGGGCCCCCGGGGAGGGGCTTGGCGGGGCAGCCCGCAGGGGGCAGGGGAGGGACGCCGCGCAGGGGGCCTCCCGGAGCCCCCGCTCGGCGCAGGACCGCCCCGCCAAAGTGCCCGCTCGGACAACGGGCCGGGGCGCGTGGGAATGCGCGGGTCAGGCCCGCGCCTTCCGCCGGGCGTCCAGGAGGGGCGTGGGGCGCCGACGCGCCGGGAGGAAGCGCCGGGAGCGGCGGGAGGCGAGGAGGGGACACCGGGGGCGCACTGCCCCCCCCCCCCCCCCGTCGCCGCGTCGCCCGCGCCTCGGGCTCAGGCTCAGGCTCAGGCTCAGGCTCAGACTCCCGCGGGCCCCGCTGGTATCTAATAGGCCAAAACCGAACAAAACCCCGAGTATGCCAGGTACCAGTCTTGTTGTTTTTAAGGGGAAAAAAGCATCCGAGTCTGTTTTGTAAGTTTTACAGTGAACTGTTTTAAAGTGAACGAAAGTGTGAACGGAAGGTACCATTCCTGCATTCCTTGGTTTAGGACTATAATTGTGGTAATTCTGAGGTCTTAACACGATAATTTTTGAAGATCGTTTTCTTCAAATATTAGTGAGGGCTTTTTCTTTTACGTAAGGTTATTTATGAAAAGTAATGATCAGAGATTACAAATGTAGGTTTAGGTAAATGTGAAATTGCACGAACGTTGCTATTTGTGATGAGTATCTAACTTACTAATCATCAGAGCTTCTCAGTTCTTAATTTTTTTTTTTCTGGAATGATAGAACAAAAATTTTAGTTCCTCAGTTGAGATTAGAAAATTTTAGTTTGCTTTTGGTTTTGCCACCAGTAGACTAAACTGTCAACATTAGATATGGCTTACAATTAGGACTTATAAATTAGTTGAAAGCCGACTCTATTAAGCATACTTTATGTTCAGAGCCCTCTGGTCTGTTTCTTCATATTTCCATTTGTAACACTGGTGGCAAAATAGATTTTAAAAGTTGGTCTCGTCTATAACAAAAATCTTCAGGATTCAGGTAACTTATAAAATTGCCAATGTAGATTAATGGGAGCTTTTTAAATGTTTAATTTTATTAAATGTGCAGTTTATAAATACTAATTTAAGCAATGATATCAATTGCATGATTGAAAACAGTACTGATTAGTACTGTTTTTTTTTTTTTTAAGATCTTTTATGAATTCGTATTTTACGAGTACCTTTAATAGTACTTCTTGGGAAATACAACAGGTTCTAACAGCACTTTTTATTAGTGGTCTTCTAGAAAATACTGTGCTGCACGATAAAGAGTGGATTGTACTGCCAGGGAATATGGGTTTTTTTTTCTTTTTCCTTCAGTGATATGTTGACTTACCTAATACTTGTGGTAAAGCAGCCCTTGAAGACCCAAATCCACCGTACTGTGGCCCCTTTCCAGCAATTTTGAACACCAAATTTATATTTGGACCATTTAAACATTCATTCTTTTAATTTTGGTCCCTGCTGACATATAAGTCTAATTTCTGGTGACTTTTATTAGGGCCCTATGTGAACGTCTGGAATTTTTTTATATTAAAATAAGTAGCTCTCTGCCATGGAGAATTTTGTCACAGTGCCTAAACTGCCTGTCTGCCAAGGTTGCAAACGTACAACATAATTTAGATTTTGAATCAACTCACGGTTTTTTGGCTTTTAAAGGTGCTTGTTCTAATATCTTAGCTAAAGTGTTAACCCATTAGGTCAGAAATCTTTACTGTTTTGCTAAACCCAAGTAACAAGAATATGCAAAGAAGATCCCAACAATAGTTTCATAGGTTTTCCCTATTCAAATACGTTTATCTCTTTTAAGTTACAAATGAAATTTCAACCATTAAAGAGGAACTTTAGGAAATAATGCTTTTTGGTTCTGTTATCGGTTGCAATTCTTTGATTTTATCTCAGCTGTGTTACTTATTATAGCTGGGGATTCGGTTCAGATGTTTAGCTCTCTTCTCTGTAAAGTGATGAAGTTGGACATAGTCTCCGTGTCCCTTCTGACTCCAGGATCCTGGAATATTGTTTTTGTTTATAAAATGCTGCAGTTACCCAGACTACATTGATTCAAACTTCTGATTGTCAACTCTTACTTGTTGTGCATGTTAAACTGGTCTACCTGTAGTCAGAAATGATTGGTATGGATCCAGGTTTGGGAGCCTGAATCTGCCTCTGGAACATCTTGATATCTGGCATATGCACACAGTTGCACACACCTTGACAGAGTTCCATGATAGTAAGCTTCTGTTACTTTCTCTTTCCCTCTCTAATAGCAGAAGGTGCTGGTTATGTCCTGGCGTAAATGTCTCACTGCTCTTTGGGGACAGCTAAGCCCAGGCCCTAAGATGGTCTGGTATTCAGTTTTGGAATTTGTGTTTGGGTTAGGGATACCACTGTAGGGCACCCAAACTTTTCTGTAGTTGGAGGCCTGTGACTAGTTCTTTGGAGGCATTCCAGATGAAATGCCCTACATTCCTACAAAATGCCCTATTGATCATACTTGGACCTACCCATCTGGTTTACTCAGAATTAAATTGAGTTTGGATAGGAGGGCAATCAGATAGCTATTTCATTTACTACTTGTTAGTTAGCATCTGTGATTGCTGTACAAATTGCTCAAGGCTTTACTTTGAGTATTTCTGTATTTTCTCCTTCCTGGGCACAGTGAGATTTTCTTTTAAAATGCTCAACGTGATTCCTGATCCTTGTTCACATATTTTCTCTATAGCATACCAAAGTCATGTTTATGACTTTTAAGGAAATGCAAATAAAGAGAAAAGAAATTATAGAAAAGGTAGGTCAGTAATAAATCAACCAATTGACTTTATAGAGGATTTGGTTATTGCCTCATTTAAGCTTCTGTTGCAAATAACAGAAACGAACATGAACTAGTTTTAAGAAAACGAAAGAAAGAAATTTGATGGGAGCCAAATGCAGACAGACCTTATTAGGGACCAGGGACTGGAAAACCTGGAACTTTCCTGCTCTCTACTGTTTGCCTTTCTTTGCTTCACTGTTCTTTCTTTGCTGACCATTTTTTTTCCGCTTTCCTGTGTTCATGGTTGAATGTGACTGTTCAGCAGCCCCTGAGTATTTACGTGTCCCTTGGTTCCAAGCACAAGGAAAGACTGATACGTTGAGACTTGATCCTAAATTCCCGAGAGAAAGAACGCAGTAGACATAGCGTGGGTCACATTGTTGACACAGATTTCCCCTAAGGTCTCTTTTAATTTTAGAATTCTTTGTAGTAGAGACTGCAGACATTTACGTGGTTTGATTTTGCATTTTTACATTTTGTATTATGGGGTTATTAGTCCTTAAAAGGTATAATTTTCTCTTGATTGCACTGTGTGTGGAAAAGCCACCTTCACTGGGATCCTAGGATGTTAGAGCAGTTCATTCATACTGAGGCAGGAATGCTGAAGAGGAGCCTTTGGGGAGTAAATGGGGGGGGAGGGAGGGGGGATTAGCACTACATTCAGGAGTTACAACGCAGCTCAGGATCCACCTGACTTGAAAATCCTTTTTAATGACAACTGATCCATCCTACAATCATCTGCATATTTTTAGGAATTCACTGCATTAGAATGCTGAGCTCAAATAGCTCTTCAGGGTGAATTCATTGAAACTATTTACGTAATAATTAGTGACTTTCAAAATAGTAATAGTTGAGGGAGTTCCTTAGTTATTTTCCTGTTTCTCACATGTCTAGCATTTTCCATCTCTACTTTCCTTTAGACTGCTTCTGCTGTCTGGAATATTTTTCTCTTGGAACCTGTCCTTAAGGCTCCATCTCATGGTCTTTTGTGAAGCTTTCTTCTCCTCTTAGAATTGTCATTTCCTTGTGTTTTCAAGACATTTTGTACCCTGATTGGAGCATGATTTTACCGTCTTGCATTATCAAATCCATATGTATTCATCTTCTTCACTAGACTGTAAGTTCTATTAGACAAATGGATCATGTAGAAGACTTCGGATGGGCTGTTAGCATCCGTCATCCCAGGTATAATGATCCCAGCTTTTTCAAATGATCTGAAGCTTGTATGGCATCCTGCTTGTCACTGCCTTCTTCTTCAGACATTGGAGTTCAGCCACTGCTCTTCTTTCTCAGTCCTTGCTGTTTCTTAGATATTGTAGGCTTTTCCATGAACATTGTAATTTCCTGTGTGATAATCACATATATAGAATGATAGAGTGTTTTCCTGCAAACCGAGATAGATGGGGAAAGAGAATATAGCAAACTGATGTGGAAGGAATCCACTTGTGTTGAGCACCCAGTATTTACCAGGTCAGATAGAGAGGGTGGGCGTAGAAAATCATTGGAGACTATTTGAAGGGAAATAGTGTGAAGATAAAAGATTGAAGATTAGGTGTGGCCTAGAATGTGGAGGACTTTTTTTAAGTTTTATTTTATTTTTATT